TCCTGGAACTCACTATGTAGACCAGGCTTGCCTTGAACTTGAAGTTTTTTTAAAAAGCTTTAGATGTTTTCGTTATTATTTTTTTATTTTGTGTGTATGAGTGCATTGTCTGCATGTATGTAACTGCACCCATGTCATACAATGCCTATGGAGGTCAGAAGAGGACATTGGATCCCCTCGAACTGGAGTTAAGGATGGTTGTTAGCCATTATGTGGGTGTTGGAAACCAAACCCAGCTCCTCTGCAAGAGCAACCTGTGCTCTTAATTGCTGAACCATATGTCCAGGCCCTATTTTTATTTTATTTTATCTAATTAATTGATTATTAAATTATTTGATTGATTGATAAATTAATATTGATTTATTAAATTAATTGATTGATTTGAGACAGGGTCTCACTACTGTGGCCCTGAGTGGGCTGTCTCTACTACAGAGTGCTAGGATTAAATCTATGTGCCACCATGCCCAGGCAGAGTGTTATTTAAAAGACAAGCAATTCTTGACTAGGAGTGATGGCACTTGCATTTAATCCCAGCACTTGGGAGGCAGAGGCAGGCAGAGCTTTGTGATTTCAAGACCAGTTAGAGATACATTGTGAGATCCTGTCTCAAAACAAAGCTGAGAAATTACTATTTTTATTTAATAAAGATGGTCAATAGAGAGGGCTAATAAATCTTGCTACTGTTGTTTAAATAAACAATCTGCAAAGGAGAAAATGGTTTTGTGATTTGGTTCTATAGTCCTTTTTCATTCCGTGCAATATTTCTCAGACTTCAGACATCTGACAACAAGCTTGAGTTTTCCTCTACTTGTGTAATTCTAATATTGAGTAACAATAACAAAAAAGCCTTTTACTTAAGGGTTAATAAGCCGTGGGACTGGGAATTGAATGTTGGGCCTCATGCATATTAGGCAAGTGCTCTACCAACCGAACCATGCTTCTCAGCTAAATCTGCTTAATACTTTCACTGTAACTAAAAATGGAAACCAAGGTATTTTTCTAATGCAAAGGAAATAAATATTCATCTATTTAAAAATGTTTGGCTGTGCAATACCCCAAATAATTACATATACTACACTTTGTAAACATTCATACAGTTAACACAGTGAATAATCTCTGTCAGACACTAGACTTAAAGGTAGCGTGAGAAATTGCTTTAGGCATGTTCTAATCTTGATTTCCTTGAGGAGACAGAGATTAAATTGACTCAAATAAATAAAGAGACCTAAAGTAG